ACCTAAAATTTAGGCTGTGATTACAGTTACAGCAGCCTTATACCAATTCCTAATTCTGATTGGATGTTACTGTAAAATTAAAAATTAGTTTAAGACTGGTGTAACAATAGCCAATGCATATTAAACAGTGCTGTGAAAGTAGGTCTATAACAATAATTAATAACAAAGTATTTATTTTGCCAGCTAAAACTTGAATTTGCCTATCCTCAAGGGTTAGAGTGCGCCCTCACTATCATCACAAAAATGCTTTGCAAACGACATCAATATCAATACAAAATTTATACTCTACAGTAGATGTACAATTAATCTTTCTCAATTGAAAGTTGGTAACTAAGATTTAGCAAACCAAATAGTTCATACACTACACTTTAAGGCTAAAAATAACTCTACTATTACAATTTCCAAATTTTGTAAAGATTAATTACCAACAGACATACTGCTTCATAATCTAAAAAAAAAAAAAAAATCTGGCATGAGGTATTTAGGAAATCAGATTGTATGGCCTCCTATACGAACACCTGCACTGTGAAGGCCTTATTGTCTGAGGTATGGGAAACCAACATCTTTATTCATTTATCAGTAAATGCAGAACACTAGTATGAAATATAGTCAGATGTGGAAAACTGTACTGTCCCACAGGAAGGAAAGAAAAAAGCTTTTGAGGAGAAAATAATTTTATATAATTTTTTAGATTTTAATTTTTAGACTCTTAAAGATTAAAAAGCATTTGAAATCCGGGATGTAAAGTTTATGGAGGCACCCAACCTTGAAGTTTTTTCACCCAGGTCTAAATCTACATGACCCGCTACCCACCTTCATTAAACCTCCTTTCCCCCTTAAAATCCACTCTTATTTAGAGTATGCCAATGTTGTCATCCATCCACCCTCGAAATGTCAACCATCCACCCATAGTTTTCTACAGCTACAACCCTGCTAAATTGTTAGAGGTTCTCCAGGAACAATCGCCCCTTGAAGAGTCTGACTACTACTACTAAATCTTTTCCGAGCTACTGGGGCTCATAAGGCTGGAGCTTATCCCCAGTTTCTGTAGCGTGAAGCGGATGAGAGTTGTCCTCCCCCTGGATGGGACACTAGTCCGTTGCATGTTAGTCCCCAGCATATTGCTGGTACCCATTGATACAGCTGGGTGGATTGAAGCAATGTAGATAAAGTGCCTTGCCCAAGGACACAAGCGAATCTGCACAGCGGAGACTCAAAGAGTCTGAACACAGGTAAAAATGTCACTAAAGCTGTCAACACAAAGAACCATCAGATTCTCAAACGACATAAGCTGACAGCTCTGATAGAGCTGGGTACACACTATGGACGACTGTTGACAAGGCACTCTAGTCAAATTCTTTTCAACTATGATCCGCTCAGACTATTGCTTACAATCACCATAATACAGCATTGCTTCAACCCATTCAGTGTGTACCTCATGACATAAAAGAATTCTGAAGAAATATTTCCAGTAGGGTCCTCGAGAAACAGTCTCTCCCCCCCTCCTTTTATTATTTTAGAATATAATGCATGGAAAGGTTCATGAATAGCAATGACCTTCATTGTGAACTCTACGAAGACTCTAAGCAAAGGAAAAATTAATGAGAGGTGAGATTATGTTTGTTAATGGTTCATTAATTTCTAATACAATAATAATAAATACAGGGGCCCACCAAGATGTGTACTCTCGCCAATCCTTTACTCTGTTTACACACATGACTTTAGTACCTCCTACTCAGATTGCCTTATCATTAAATTTGCTGACGATACTACCGTGACTGGCATTATTCAGAACAATGATGAGCATAATTATCGCTCACATCACAAGTACAACTAATTGAGTGGTGTAATTACAACAATCTTAAACTAAATGTTGCAAAAACAAAGGAAACAATTGTTGACTTTCGAAAAAAAAAAAAATATATATAAAAGAACCACTAATCATCCAGAATTCTACTGCTAAGATAGTTAATTCCTTCAAATTTTTGGGTACATATATCACAAATGACTTTCNAATTGGGGGGGGGGGGGAACGTTCATCATTGTTTGAAAAAGGCACAGCAGCAACTTTATTTTCTGTGTAGATTGAGGTCCTTCAGGATTAGTCCCCCCCCCCTGTTGTGGGCCAATTTTATGTCAGTGATAGAAAGCATTCTAACTCTTTCAGTTATTATCTGGTATGGGTACACCACGGAGAAGGAGAAGGACGGACATAAATCGTGTAGTGAAATCTGCATCCCACATCATTGGAATTGAGCAGAATTCGGTATATATAATTTATCATGACTGTATGGTTAAAAAAGCAATGGCAATCACTGGGGACAGAATGGCCAACCATTTGTTCACTTTGATGCAGAGTGGTCGCCGATATCAATCACTAGTGACCGAGAGGGGTAAATATCCCTCCACCATTAGGGCATTGAACAAGTCACTAGTTTGAATGTTTGTATTTTATGTTTGCATTTGTTAGGGAACCAGATCAAATTTCATTGTATGTGTATTGTGCATGTTGACGAATAAATCTATTGAATATTGAGTATCTGAATGCCAGGTTTAAAAGAAGGGGGAGGGAGGAGGGAATAAGAACTAGGTAGTTTGTTCCATAAAGAAGAGGTGCGAGATATGAAATAGGATGAGTAGACCCCTACTCTTTTTAGTAAGTGTATGTACTTTAAAATGCATGGACTCTATCGCACATCCTCTACTGTAGGCCATACTGCTCATGGGACCACTAACATCTCTTTCCAAGGTGGTAATCTATTGTAACTTGCATTTCAGCTAAAATACAGGAACAGCGGCATTGGAATTGAATAGGGGACAACAGGACCATAAAAATGGTCTCCATGTTTCAGTGCACACACGTAGGTACAGTATGTTTCTCTCAACAACCTGATCACTATTTCACACCATTCTAATTGTTTTTGGTAACAATGACAAAACAAACATTTGATATGCTATCATACTGTCAGAGCTGGCATGCTTTCCAAAGTTCTCACGCACACTGCATACATTATATTGAGAGTTCCATTAAAAGAACCCCGATAAGCCTAATGTATCATTACTTGTTGGACATATTTGTATACCAACAAAAGTTTACACAATAAGAAAACTTTATCGTCCAAGCTTTTTGAAGTTTTTGACCTTGTTTGGATAATAATCAGTAGGAAAAGGATGTCACCTGTTTATCTCTCCGGTCTATAGGCCATACATACTTCAGTTGTCCAGGCAATAGTTAGCACAATGGGATGGCACGCATTTCTTCTAGTCGTTCAATGACAGAATAAGCCCAGTTTACAAATAATCTTGAACCAATATTTGCTGTACAAATACCTTTTTTATTTGCTAACTAATTAAAGTCCGGGGACTACAGTATGCTCTATCCATTGCACATTTAAATTCTGTATTTATAGTGTGACAAATTTTTAATTTTAGAGAATTATATTTGGACAATAAAAAGTCTGGTTGGTGAACACAATGTAAACCAATACTTTGGCTTGGGTGTTAGCCATGGTGAATTTTTGTATTCATATTTTTAAATTTCAACGAGCATACAAGGACATTGTATATTTGTACTATATAAATCCATCTATTTATTAAATATTATTAAGTACACTGTAGAAGATGTATTCACAGGTGTTAATCAGATTATGGATTATTGAAGTACTAAACACTCATAAAGTACAGTTATAATTATTAACCTTCCGTTCAAATGAATACAGCAAACAGTTTTCATGGATAAGAGTTCGTCTAAGTGGTAGCATTCTAGTCTCAATTGCACCCTAACACTGGGTTTTTACCACCCTAGAATGTTTTCAGTATTGAATCAAGGAATTTTAACAGCCAACATCCTTGATAGCACTTGTGGCAAAGACAAGCCAAACCAGTTACTGTTCGCAAAAATTGATTTTTAGTTATTAATACAGGGTTAAACAGTAGAATGAGAGCTATAAAATGGTAAAAGAATCATTTTAATCCGACATTTTGTTATGAAGTTACAAGCATTCAAACATAAAGCTGTTTAAAGAACAGTATTTGAGAAATTATCCTTCAAAGTTTATGATTTTGTTCATTTGTCAGGCAGAGACCATCACCAAATCGTTGTCTTGACATTGAAAATGGTGAAAATATCAGCATGGCAAGATTTATTTATACTGTATAAAGTTTAGTTTAGTGCAATAAAATAGATTTCAAAAATTCTGACATTTCAGCATATTTTGGCCATTATATTATAAAGTACTGATAAAACAATAAGTCAGAAATCAGAAATAGCTTAAAGTAAAAAAAGCATAACAAAAAAATATCAGAATATTTGCAATCCATTCTCAGTCTACTGCTGTTTAGCTTATGTTTACATTTTTTTAACCCAATAAGAAAGTGAAGTGGATCTTTGGGTACAGCTTTTTGTTTTTCAACCATGAATTAATGGTTCGCTGGCTATAGGCAACGGCCCAACTTTGTGCCGCAAAACATTTGTGGAGGGCAGTGAAATCCCCCATGAGAAAAAAAATCAAAAGTCTGTTTTTATAACTGTTTCACTGATATAGCGAACACCCAGTTTATACAAGATTTTGTCATTTTAATAAACAGATCATTGTCTATCTAACTGTAAGAACATGGGAGGTAATTTTCATGATCAGAAATTCTTGCAGGTTCTGTATGTTGGCGTCTGGTGCTGCAAGGCCGAGGCTTCGGGTCTATATACTGAAGAAGGCTGTGAAGTAAAAAGTTTGCAAAATGCTGGTCTAGGCCAAGAACTTATTGCAGACCTGTAACCAGGGGGATTTGGCAGAACCCCCCCCCCCCCACGTTTTTGACCAGTTTACTAACTGTAGTAATAATTTTTATTATTTATATTAAATTTAATTATTTTTATTAAAGAAACACTTCTGAGTTAAACTTAGCCTATGGAAATGCCCCTTCCTATTCTATGAGCCTGGTTACAGGTCTGCATTGTATTGTAATATAAATTTATACTAAATGCTGTTAAGATTAATACTTACATTTTAGAGTCGCAAATGCTAAATCATAAATCCTTCTCTTCGTTTGTTCGTCCATAACTGGAATTTTGGCCGGTATCGATGTTGGTCTCGTCTCAACATCTAAAACAAGACGTTCACTTTTTTTCGCAGGCCGCAGCCCAGCGAACACTTGCCCAGCGTGCAGATAAACGATATGGTGGGTATTCGCATTTCCTAGGTCGTCGTCATTGTAAATGTTTTCATTGGCTTCCATTGTGCCATGCAGGAGGGGTTTTCTAGGTGTATATAAGCTGTGATACCTTCTAGGCCCTACCAAACCTCCTCCCACATGTCTAGGAATGAACAGCGACATGGCTTGTATAGTTTCTATGTAGATATGGTAAACAGTCTCATGAATATTAATGAGGGAGGCGTGTTATTTGATCAGGCAAGGCCAATGAGCCTGGTTTAGGTACTGTTGAATGGTTGACTTATTACTGCTGAAGGTTGATTGGTTTGTTATTCAGGGACATCTCTGGAAGAAACCATTTAACAAAAAGGTAAGATTAATATAATAAATAAAGGAAGATAAAGGCTATTTCACTGTTTCTTAGACTTTAAAATGATGGAATTAATAATATTTGAGCATTTATTATCAAATTAAAACTGTTTTCCATGTAAAAAAAAAATCATACATTGGTTATAAACTTTAAACAATTAAATATTTTACAAAAGGTTTTCAATGTAAAATATTCAAAATAGAAAAAAAAACATACAGCAATAGATAATAATTTGACAATACCTTTAAACAGAATATTTTTTTATGGATTGATTAGAAAAATTAATAATTTAAGAAATATTATATCTGTCTAAACCAAATTATGTAAATGAATTAATATTTTTTGTACAAACTTACACAGTACAGTGGCACTTATGCATTTATTTAATTAATAAGAATAGTAAATTACAAGTTGTTTAATCTATTTCAAATTTCATTCTTTAATCCATTAACATGAACTGATGTTACTAAGAGTACCAAAAAAACATGGTTTCATTAATTTCTTGTTAGCAAATAATTAGCGAGTAAAACATGCTTAATAAAGAGATCCCTAGCAATCCTTTTATCAATGATGCCGCCAACATTGAGAATCTATGAAGGTCGCAGGTAGGAATGCTGTGAAGTAGAAAATGGATCCTATCAAAAGCAATCAATAAGCCACTTCCAATGTAATCACAGGAATTATCCAATAAGTATTTTTTGTTCTGTCAGTGGATTATTTTTTTGGCTGTGGTTATTATTACATCAGTCTTAATTGAATCATAATAATATTTATAATAATGATAATGCTTTTTATTATGTTCAATGTGTCTAATTATTTTAACGTATTTAACAATCTGATTATTGTAGGTTACTGTTGTGCCATGTTTTATATTATATTTTATAAATTTATATTATTGTGCCATAGTTTCTGATGGATTGGATTATGGCAAAACATCCAATGAGCATTAGGAATTCAATTTAGACTGGTGCAGCAATAGTCACTGCTTTTTAAAAAGTAGAAATGTTAATAGAAAGAGGGAGGCACACTTCATAATAATAATAAGAATAATGAAATTATATTAGTAACGTTGGTAGTGGCTATGATGAAAATATGATGTAATAAGGATGACAACTATTACGATGATGATGGTTTATAATTGTTATTACATCTATAAGTATACTGTCTGATGATCGAAACAAACAGGTGACATTTAATCAACCATTAACATCAGCAATTTCATAATTATTATACAGATAATAATACCATAATGTTTAAATGCTGAATGATGATTATGAGATTAATAATATAGTAAAATTAATAGACATTAAATTATATATTAAAACCACTATTCATTTCACCAGTAAAACATAATACTATACAATAATACAAATACATAGGCCTAGCAACCACAATATTGTACACAAAAATAAACATTAACATTTTACTAAAATAAATAAATTATGAATATGAATGAAATATGTAGTAAATTATTAAATTCAATCTTACAGTTTTCAATAAAATTAAATAAAATAAATCATCTTGAAAAAAAAAGGATTCAGAATTCAAAATATCTTAAAACTGACCAGGCCAAAATCCACATATTGCATCCTACCTTATCTTATTATTATAGCTAGGCCTAGTCTAGGCCCTACAGTATTTACAACTGCTTACACTGACCAGGGAGTAACAACAGCCTGCATTAACTGCGACAACAGATTATTTATACTGTACTGTGAAATGTTCTTTAATGTATAGACTAAAGACTAGGCCTAGCCTAGGCCCTTAGAAAGATGAAATTCTTCCAAGTTTATTATATTGTTGGTCTCGGACTCGGAGGTCATTATTGTGTGCTTTAATAATTCTTGCTCCACCTGCTCCTCTTTTTTTATACCAATCAAAGACACCAGACTATTCGCATATAAAATTGAATTCAGGAATATGTCTGGGCTAGGCCTGCACAAAAATGTGTTTGAAAGATAAGGAGGGCTGAATAGCCCTAAGAAGGATGGGTTGAGAAAGAGACTGGCATGGGTCACCACGCAACAAGGCAAAATGTCAGATGCTGAGATAGCCTAGGATCAGGAGGCCAAAATCATTCATTGTTTGGGTGATGTCTGATTGATCGTGAATGGCCAAATTTCAGCTAGGCCAGAAAGAAGTGCTACAAACTTACTGATTTCTTTTTGTTCATGAATGCCTTTCGAAATAATTACAGCACAAGAACAAATACAGCAACTGTAAACAATGAACAATCAACAAACCTTTTCGAATGCTCGATCGCGCACTGGGTTGGTTCGGTTGCCAGCCGAGCCGACAGGCTTCACGGCCAAACACACGCCATCTCACGGCCAAATTCGGTCAAACTTTTTTTCGATATCGGCCAAATTTTAATCCGATGAGAAGAAAACAGTGGGTACATTATTATTATTCATTTAAAATACAAACATTAGACGAAAATCAACTGTCATTTGTTTGAAATTGAAGAAATTAAAATGATATACACAGAACAATGTTAATCTTTCACTGTTTTTATAACTAATCACCATAATTAAATGCCCAGCTAGCTACATCATAACATTAAATAATGTTCTATAAATTAGATGCTTAGCATGTAGGCCTGTTTAAAGTCACATTATTAAGATCGATCTAAATTTGATTTAAAATACAAACATTACACGAAAATCAACTGTCATTTGTTTGAAATTGAAGAAATTAAAATGATATACACAGAACAATGTTAATCTTTCACTGTTTTTGTAATTAATCACCATAGTTAAATGCCCAGCTAGCTACATAATAATATTAAATATGTCCTATAATTAGATGCTTAGCATGTAAGCCTGTCTCTTATACACATCTAGATGTGTATAAGAGACAGGGGACATCTCTGGAAGAAACCATTTAACAAAAAGGTAAGATTAATATAATAAATAAAGGAAGATTAAGGCAATTTCACTGTTTATCTCCCCCATCAGCACCCCCTATTTCAAGACATCTAGATACGCCACTGACTTACACGGCCAGATGAATGAAAATATTCAATCGATGTGTCACCAAATCGTAACCAGGTATCACCATGCCCTCACGAAATCACCGGGGACGCAACTGCTAAAAAACTATTTTTGGCATTGCCAAAAAACAATTTTTGGCATTGAAGGGACGCTACCAATAAACAATCAAAAAACTACAGTACCGGGCTTTTGAGTACATTTGCAAAGTACTACATGACTCAACTATTTTTCACTTAGGGGTTAATTGGTAAAAATCGTACACAAATCATACGACGTCACTGACAACCCTAGGGACTGGTTAAGGTGTCAGCATATACAGTTTTTTTTTTAATTTTCACAATTTTAACTCGATTTTGAGATTAATTTTCCGAATAAATTTATACTAAATAACTTCTAATGACGAGCTAAATTGTCTTCAGTTGTCTCTGTTGTTCATACAACAGTCATGTATCTATTTTTTGGTGACATTATCATTTATAGGTGTATTTTTTGCCCTACCTGACGTGGAAATGTACCGAATACTCAGTACATTTGAAAACAAAATACATGTTTCTCCTGACGCAAATCCAGTTATTGTCTATTATTCCATCACGACAATAACAATCACTATCGACATTATCATTCACATAACAACGTGACGTTAGATCGATCGGTGGTGATGCCGTGGTGACGCCAGTGGGGTAAATTTTCGTCGGAAGGTATCAAGATGATAAACAGTCTCATTGGACTAAATTTTTGCTTATTTTAACCACATGCTTACCTAAGATTATACTGACACTGGTTTCAAACCACGGTCAAGTAGTTAAAAATCACCTAAAATCACATTATTTTGCGAATTAGAGCCTCTCAACTGATCATCGAGCCCTCTCACTTCACCTTCGCCTACTAAATGAATTTCCTTAACGTGCATAATGTAGGTCAGATGTTTAGGGCTTAATCATGAATTTATTGATCTGTTCCAATGAAGCTTTTCCAATATAGGCCTAAACAATCATTAAATCAGTCATTTTTTATTTGATTTGATTTATTTGATATCAACTCAACAACAACAACAACACAAAAACGGATACACAAAATACAAAGAAATGAAATTGAGAATGGAAGTCATCTTTGTTGATATTTGGGGTGAACCCTCTAAATCCCAACACAAAATTTATTTCTCACGGGCGGATCCAGGAAACACGGAGGATACACCCCCTCCCCAGAAAATAAAGAGAAGAAAATAAAGTCTAGCAAGAGGAGAACACGGTATGTATGTATAGGCCTACTACAAAACAATCCAATTTTTGATAATTCCATGTAGCCGTGTAATGGTCTCAAGCATTTCTAAAATCTCGACCCCACTCCACTCTCTCTGCCCAGGTGCGCTTGTCGCATAGCTCCTATACAGCTTTTTCACTGGTTATATTATATAAAGTACCGTTCTAACATTTTAAAAATGGACTATTTTACACTATAACAATTCAGGGGCGGACGAAAACTTTCCCCTATAAATAATTGTAGGTCTACGGCTTTTAGATCACCTTTTTTCGGGTCGTCTTAATGGGCAAATCGATCATGTCTCTATAGGTTTTTATCTTCCCAATAATTATTATTAATAATTAATAATAATCATCCATATGTTGTGCCTCCCCCCCCCCCCCTTCCTCCCCTATTGAAAGATTCTGGATCCGCAGCTGCATATTCTTTTAGTTTTCACAAAATTATCCGGGGCACCGGCCAGAGTCAAATCCACCTCTCCGCCCTAAAAACATTTAAAAATTAAGAATTAAATATGTGATTACCCGATAGGCCTATTATTATTAAATACGTGTAAAAACATTAAATAACATGTTATAATCGATTAATATAATGTATAGGCCTAATGGTCCTCCCGAGAGCTCATGGCGTTACGCCACTGTGGAGACTCAGTGTGTGAGGGGAATAAGCTTAAAAATTAAGGTTAGGCCTATATATATAAATCAGGATAAACCTCAAAATATCAATTAAAATTTTAAATACTTTAGTTTAAAAAAGAGAAATCACATATTTCCAACCAAAAACAGATGAGAAAATAATTGTTGCTGATTTAAACATTTCATTACAATAAAATAAAGGACAGGGATTATTTAACTCTCTGTTACATTGACAGATTTGTTTTTTTCATCCATAGGCCTATAGTAAGTTAATAGATTATGTATGCAAATCAAGAATAAATTATTTACTGATGGGGATATGTCATAAGTGTATCAAAGCTAATATTAAAAAAAAAATTAAAACACCAGCTGTATAATAACTATCACGATTTGGGCTAAGAGAAACAATTTGTATGGATCCATTAAATATAGAACTGACAGATTTATCATTTGTGCCTTACTCGATCAGATTGTACGATAATGAATAAATTTAATTTCATTTAGCTTTTTACTGTTTTGTTATTGTTTTTGCTGTTTCGAGTAACATGTATGTTACAATCATTATTTATTAGCTTAATATAAATGAAATTCAAAGTAGTAGTAGATAGTAATAAAATAATAAAAATAAAATAAAAAATTATATAAATCAGGATTCTAGCAAAGTAATTACTGTACTGTATATAATTTAATTCTATTTACTTTTACTATTTATTTTTTTAATCTATAATTTGAAGTTTTAGGCGTTTTTTTAGTGTTCTGGTGTTTTTTATTTTTCTGATCTTTTTGGTATCGTAATGCATATTTTATTGTCTTCTTCTATGTATTCTAAATATTTAAATGAAAAGTACCCTGTAAGCGTTTTTATTGTGTTTGGTGTAATTTTTTTTATCTTGTATTGTATTTTATATCTTATTGTACTGAATATTGTATTGTATTTTTATATATAAAGTATTTTACATATTTTATGAAATGTACTCATGTTATTTCCATTTTATTGGACCAAATAAATTGAATCTGAATCTGAACATCTTAAAATGGAATATTTTTTAGCATTTCCTGATAAATCTTTAACTGAGCAATTTTATAGGGGAAAGCAAATCAAAAGTGGAAGCGAGCGTAATATTTTTGCTCAAATTTACGGGGGTGTCTGGGGGGATGTGTGCAATGTTCGATTCTGAATATTCTCTCCACCCCACCCCCCTGGAGTGGAGTTTGTGTTTGTAGATATATTATTCAATAAACAAGATAATGCAAGTTGAATCATAAGGCACTTGACACGCTACAGTACACTGACTATAAGACTAAAATATGTTAGGTTATACGTATCTCATTATTATAAATCATACCGAAGCATTTGTGTATTAATCAGTACTACAGTAAGTGGGTTTGATATTTGCAAATTAACTACCGTATTTATCCCAAAATATTACCGTATGACATCATGTAACCATAAGATTTCTTTTGAAAATCGAGGCCGAAATTTTGTTGTCCTCCAATTCAATTCCAATGTACATAAGTACTATATGGCATAATAATACATCGTGTACTGTAGCATAGCTCTCAAAGAATATAGCAATATAATTAAGTGAATAAAGAAATTGTGTAATAAAATTCCTCTGACGGGATTCGGACCTGCGACCTCTCGCTGTCAAGGCGAGCGTCATAACTATCATACCACAGAGGCTTTATGGTTGAACAGATTAACATACCGCGTGATATATACTCTATTAGAATAGCTTTTAAGTTGTATTAGATTCTATTAAAGTTTATATTTGCTTGCCAATACAATTCAGCTTGTGTTTGTCTATTTTATTGTCAATATGCCTATTTTTGAAAATCTGTGAAGTGCCAATGTTGCCCAAAACTTGGTAACTTTGGCAGTTCTTTATAGCCCTCAGGGAAGAATTATATGCAAATTTATATTTTTCTCCATCCGTGGCAACAATAACCCTCAAATGTATATAATACGATAGGGAAAAAAGATAGTTGTTTTGGTGTATAATTGCCCCTACAATGTTAAAAACCTGCCAAAGTTACCCCAGATAAGGAATATAATGAAAATTGTATTCAAAATTAAGTCTGAGAGTCCAATTTGCGGCCGTCAGAGGTGTCATAATCACACATTTCCTTACCTTAGCGCAAAACCATGGTAGGGCTGAATCCTCAATCTGCAAAAGTACCTCCACGGGCCCCCTCTACTTTGAATTTCTGGATCCGTCTGTATCGGGAATGATCTTAAATTAAGTGGCCATATAGAGGTAGATTCATGTTAAACAATTCATATACGTTATCACATTTACTGTAAGGTCGGATTTTGCTGTTCCATCGATGTTTTCCTTTATATTGTAAACGACAGAACACGGTAGTGTA